AGTACCATTGATTCTCTAATGGATAGTGATTCATAAAACACATTCATGAACCAGAGCGCTCTTACTAATCCAAGTACCGAATTAACACTCAAGAGAATTATTTATCTACTTCTTTCTCAAGAAGGAATAGATTCCATCTCGTATAATAACATTCTCGGCTACCTATTTCATCATGTCTCCAAAATACAAGGAATAGGATTCAGGGTCTCAAAATCCGTACCGAGTAAATCAAAAGACACAAATCCATAAATAGGAGTTTGTTAAGAACTCAGGATTAAGATCATTATATATATGACCATCGGTAGACTCAATTAGAATTTCTATGCTTAACGGAAATTATTAGAAATTCATATTGTGTATGTGTCCCTATTCCACACAATCTCATTATGCGAAATACACTCATTCAATATCTCACCATATTAACAGTGCGGATAGCACCGTTCAATTCTAAATGGGAATGACATGTATTAATAATGTTTTGATTAAAGATTCTGAACTTTAATTAAATTCATTATGAACAACGTTTTTGATTATTATCCTTAAACATTGTCCTCTCGTATATAACACTTATATACAATGTTTAAGGTTACATAAATAATCACAGAATTTTCATTTGATATTCATAAAATATTCATAAATATATGCACATAAAATGATGAATAAACTCTTTTATTAATTAATAATGAATATCCTATGACATCTCATGCTTCTAGGACACCATTCCCAACAGTTGATTCTTATAAACATGGCGGATCGTGATTGGTATGAGGAAGAACTTAATACCACACGAGCGTTATTTGGAGAGAAAGACACATCCGATGGGGCAAATCTATATGAACTTTGGAAAAGAACAAAATTTGACCTAATGATGATGGGAAACGAAGGGCAACCATAATGCGTAGAGTTGCCAAAATGAGGGATAAAGAGAAAGAATAAAAGTGCAATTTGATGAAAAAATAACCCTATTAGAAAAGCAGGGAATGAGCTACAAAGTTATGTCGGTGTTTTGACACATGAACACGTGCCAAAAACGATAGAAGATTAGAGACATAAAGAAAATAAAGATAACGTGAATAGAATTTGGCATGATTTGGTTCAAATTTTCACGATTCTAGAGACCACAAAAAAATATAAGCTTACGTGTGCGGCAAAGATGGCTCGGGACTTTAAGTCGAACCTATTCACCACCTTTGTAAAGCAGTTAAAGGATAGTCCTTAAGCCTTTGAACTCCCAAAGAAAGTGGCTAGAAACTACCATTCAATTACCCTGGAACAATGGAGGAAGTTTGTGGAGTATAGACTTAGTGACTATCGACAGGCCGTTCCTGAAGAACCATCTAAGAGAAGAGGATCGTACAAGTACCCGCATGGGAATGCTCGTTGGGGATATAGGAAAGCAGAGGAAGATTATGCAAGTCTTCAATTACTTTTTTTCAATGATATTAATTAGTTTTTATTTGTATTACAATCTTTAATATACTTTTTAATTGAATGCATATGCGAATGCATAACACTACGAAGAAGCCAGATCAAGTCACTTTATGGCAGTTCATACGTAAAAAACTGGATGGCACTTACAAAATTGCGGAATGCGAAGAGATCGGCAAATTAATTGTGAGTTATTGCTTTTCTTTTTAATATTTGTTCGATCAATGGGAAATATGTCAAGAAATTTATAATATTTTTATTCTAAATTTGTAGGACCAATATGTTGAAGAAGAGTTCCAGAGAAAATTTTAATCTCAGGGGACTGATGATGTGCTTACTAGATCATTGAAAAACCTATAACACTCAGGCCGTGTTCATGGGCAATCCTAATTTGTCAAAAAGTTGACTTATTTTCATTCCACTGACATATCAAGAAGGGATGAGGAGTTAGCAATAACGCGTAAGAAGGTGGAAATATTAGAGGCCAGATGAGAAGTAATGTAATCATCCCAAGGCCATACCCTAGCATCTGTACGAAAGGGAATGAGAACTCCTACAATGGATCAACGACGTTGTGTTAAGGAGAGTTGCACTGTCCATAATGCTACGCCACCGATAGAGCGCCCTTCATTAGGCCTTGATGATGGATGGTCACCGATCAAGAACTTAGTCTTGTGTGTACCATGGCTTACATGTGGTAATATAACTATCCTTATTACTTTTCACAATAAATTATTATTTATTATTAAATGTATAACTAACTTCTTCATTTTTCATGTAGTCACTTATGACATGTGTGCAATTAGGATAATGTCCTAGGACGTTGGGGTTTCATGTCCTTGATGCTCACGTTCTACGTTCCAGGCCAAGCGGAGCTAGATATAGAGCGATAGACAAACGCAATCTGTACATTTTTTATTCAATCGGATGCACAACACACTTTTTTCGTGCCATACAATGGAAGAGGATATTGGATGTTAGTCGTGATATATCCTACACAATATAAGGTTGTGTGGTTAGATCCTCTCGTGGCGAATGTACGCGTAGACTTCAGAAGAATGATTACCATGTAAGTTTAGCATTCTTTATAACTTTCAAACTACTAATTTAGATTGTTTTATTTACTAATTAATTGAATTGTTTCATCATTTATTGGTGCATTGCGTGGTTGGAAGGTGCAAAGAAGGCTTGAGTTTGAACGTCATGTAGATGGGTTCACAAAATTTCTCATCCCAAAGGCAAGTGTTTATAATTTCGTTCATTGAATTACTCGAAGTTAAGGAATATACCATTTTTCATGTACTAAAATTTTTTATTATTAGAAAATTCCGATACAAGAGGGGAACAAAGAATGCGGGTTTTTCGTCTTACGGTATATGCGCGATATAATGAGAGTCGTGTTAATGATTTAAAAAATATAGAGGCATATTGAGCATTTGGTAGAAGTGATAAATGAATAGGCACATTTTGTAAAGGGACATATATTTTAAATGTACAAATAACATATTGTAAAGGGACATATAATTTAATTTATATATGCATTTTGATTTGAATATATGTAATATTAATTTATTTATGTTATGTGACTTGTGACTCATGTTATTTGTGTGGCCAAAATACTGATAAATCACGGGATTAATAGGCCAACCTGTGGGAAAAGCAACAAAACATCACTAAATTTTTTTGGTGATAAGGCATATATAACGATGATTTCTAACTAAAACCGCCGTTATATATATTATTTTTAACGACAGTTTTGAAACCGTACTTAAATGTTTTTACCTAACCGTGAAAATTATTATTTTGGGAAGATCTTAGACGACGATTTTGTATATAAACCGTCATCTAATGTTCTATTTAACGATGGATAAAAACCGTCATTAAATCGTACAACAATTTAACAATTCTCAATTAAATGACGATTCTCCTAATCGTCATTTAATCTTTTTACGACGGTTATTAACAATCGTTAAATCCCAAAATTCTACTAGCGCTCGTACAACAATTGTACATACAATTGTACATACAATTGTACATATACTAGCATTGTGGAAGCAAAAGGTCAACTATAATTATCATCTCTTCTTTCTCTCTCCACCCAAAAAAAAATATAAAGCTATATTATAAACGGATTGTTTATCTGCAGGGTCTAAAAAAAAAACCTAGTTTATATTTATATCTGATAATTAAAGATAAACTATTTGCTCAATAAACCAAATATATTTTACCTTGTCTTTATATTGCTATTCATTTATAAACCCAAAAGACACTTAAAAGAAAAAACACTTAAAAGACAAAGTTTCATACTTACATCGCTGAAAAGAAGAAGGTTACTGTTTTACATTAATTGGTTGCGTGTTTTCCGGCTTCAATTTCGTTGGTCTCTAGCCAAACAATTCTTTATAATAAATTTATAAAAAAACATAATTAACAAATAATTAAAACAATAAAAATCACCCATGGAATGTAATTTTACGGCTAATTGGTTGGATAAAAGTTAAAAGCTCGTCGGAGTTGACATTTTTCTTAGCAATTATAACGGAGGAGTGCCCACAACACACATATATACACCTAATTAGGCTAATTTTTAAGTGCGATCCACTAAGTCCTGTTTGGTGTATAGGAATATATTACATTGGATGTGATTGTTAGTTAAGATGATAATCCCTTATCCTCTCAAATCTAAAATGATAATCCTTCACTGTGCTATCTACCTACTTACATCAAACAACTAATAGTAGAGGCCTTTTCTCTTATTAAAAAAATAATAATAATAAATAAAAAGAGGAACTAGTGGCCAACTATATATGCTCAGAATTTTAGATCAATGATGTAATAAATCACTGCTAGTAAGAAATTTTACAATCCTTTAAAAGTTGACACATGACTCAATAAATTGAAAACAGTTTATATCTATTATACAATAATTGAACTTTCACCGCTAGCTAGTAACACTCGTAATTTCATATGATACCAATCTTCTTGATTTACCCATCAGGATGTGATCTTGTTTGGACATCTCTCTTGATCTTTTTTTCTTGGCTTAGTCTTCAACTATATTTTCTAGGTTTTTTTTTCTTTAGGTTTTATTTATTGTTTTCAGTTTTTATTTCCGACCATTGTTTTTTTTTTTTTTCTAAGTTTTTTTGCCTTCTTTTAGTTGTAGTTAAATTGTTTTGTAATTATAGAAACGCCATCTATTTCTTTTTTTAATATAATAGAATTAGAGACAGAATCTAATTAATTAGCTAATATGTGACACATTCTAAATTTCTAATCCACGCACCATATAAAAAAGCCACCTCCCAGAGTAGAAGGTCAAAATTCCCAGCACCGAAAAGGATGGAACCTATTCAGGAGGGAAAAAAAAAAAAAAAAAAAAAAAAAAAAAAAAAAAAAAAAAAAACTAGACACGGTGGCGCGTGCAGTGAGCGCGTGAAGAAGTCGCTTTGGTCTCCAACTCAGTAACTATTTTAAGGAAAATAAAACAGAAATATTAAATGCTGAGAATCCAGAGACATATGCCCTATGAGAGAAGATGAATATGAATAGGCATTTTGTGTCGTGTGTGTTCTCACGTTCTTAGATAATAAGCCTCACCATTGTCTATCTGTCTCTGCGTCTCTCTCTCTCTCTCTCTCTCTCTATTTTTTTCCCATATTTTAAGTCCACCCTCTCACACTATACATTAATCCTTACACACCCACTCTTCTTCTATATTCTCTCTCTCTCTCCAAAACTTGATCAGTTTTTGATACCAAAAAGGGCTTGCATAATCAATATATTTTAAGGCTCAAAAACTTGGTTTAGTTATATTAGTATCACAAATACTAGAGAAGTAATTGATTAGATCGAACATAGTTATAAGATATGACGATGAGCAACAACATTGGTCAGTTCGGCGACACCACGCTGACCAAGGTGTTTGTCGGAGGCCTCGCATGGGAAACTCCGAAGGAAGCAATGAGGGAGCACTTTGTGAAGTACGGCGAGATCTTGGAGGCCGTTATCATCTCCGATAAAGTCACCGGCCGATCCAAGGGCTACGGATTCGTAAGTACTCTTATTTATAATTTATAGTATGATAGGTGAATTTGTGATTGTTAAAAATTATTAGTAATATGTGCGACATATATATTGGCCGGTGGTTGTTGTGTAGGTGACATTCAAGGAGGCGGAAGCCGCCAAGAAGGCCTGCGAGGATGCCGCGCCGATCATCAACGGCCGCCGAGCCAACTGCAATCTCGCTTCTCTTGGGGCTCGCCGCCCCAGGGCGGCCTCCAACACAAACACCACCACTCCTCCTCAACAAGGTATGTGTACAAAATTTATTCATTTGCCTTGAAATGACAGAATTGTCAATGTAACAAAATAAACGTGACCCCACGATAATGTCACGTCATGTCTTTGTTCCAATTTTCATGTTTACATAGACAATCTAGATTTGAAAATGGAAATGATTCTAAATTACTAATTGGAAATTATTCTAAATTGTGAGATTCACTCTCTGTTAGTTTACGGTATTCAACACCACTTGTGCTGTTTAACATTGTTAATCACAATTACTATACAAAGACAATTTCGTAATAATCGAAATTGAAATGGCCAAAAAAATTTTCCTCAAGGATCCAACGTTGGACCGAGGTCAATGTCCCCTGCACCTGCAAATCACGTGCAGTGGTACTACCCGGCAGGAACCCCCGCTGCCCCATTCCATCATCAGCAACATCACGCCGTTCCTTATTACGGGTATTTTCTTTTTCCCTCTCTTTTGGGGCTTTTCTGGACATTTGATTGGTGGGATTTTACAACTATGATGTAGATGCACCTTACTGAATTAAAATTACCTATATATGTTTTAGGTACTCTCCGACCTACGTTGCAACTGATATCAGTTACAATCATGTAAGTGCTCGGATCTAATACAACTGCCAACTTTTACCACTTTATTACGTGCTCTATTTCTGTTGGCCCTAATTGCTAGCTGGTTCATAGGCAATATACCATTGCTTAAAGTGCACAGGCATGAGATCCCCTTTTGGTCTTTTGATTTTTATTAAGTTTATTTTATGAGACATTAAAAAAAAAAAAATTCATCATGGTCCCCTTTTTCGACAATTATTCAATTTCAAGATTAAAGTTTAATATTCTTTTTGTCTAGCTTTATCAATTAATTTTTTCAAACTATTTTTTAATCTTTTTTCCGCGGTCCACCTAGTTTGTGATCCCATGCTTGTAATTTATTCAGTTTGTATATAAAATATAAATAAGCATTTATTCAAATTTTTCCTTTTCTATTCATGAATAGCTCTCATGTTGATATTCACAAACAAATTAAGGAAAAAGAAAAAAAGAAAATTCCGCTGAGTATTCTTATGAGAATTAGGCCTCGTTCATTTCACCAATTCGAGTTTTTAATTTTAGGTTTTTACAGTAAAAAGTTTTCAGAAAATGTCACATCTAACTTTTTCTGCTACAGTAAAAAACTTTCAGAAAATATCACATCTCAACTCGAATTGAAATGCTTGTTTTAATGTTTGTTGGTTTATGTGTTTGTACGTGGTGATGGTGTATAGAAGTTAAGCTACACCGGTGGGACCTACATGAGTGGGCATTTCTCTCAAGTGTACCCAGGGCAACCTATCATGGGTGCAAACACGTTGATGCCAATGTATCCTATGTATCACTACCATCAATCCCATACAATGGGCCTGCCGGCCCACATGTTCCCAACTACAACAGCGGGGCCAATCAGCACAGGCCCAGCCATCATTTCGAAACCAGCATCGATTGCTCCAAACCCAGGTAGTTGCACTGACTCGGAAGTTGAGTTTGATTGCACTTTAACAAAAGCCTAAAAAAAAGAAAAAAAAAAAAAAAAAGTAATCTTGACAAATACTTTTAAAAGTGTACAAATCAAAATTTTTATCATTCACTCTTAATTTAAAATTTTTTTAGTCAAATAATTATACTAAACTGATATTACAAGACAGTTTGCTTGGCTGTGGAATAGGTCCTACTGCAGTTGGCGCAGGTGAAAGCTTTAAAAAGGTTGGCTAATGGAGGAGCACTTATTATTAGTTCGCATAAATAACAAACAGAAGGTGGTGCGCTGCTCAGAACAACATTATTAGTTATGATCTGTTGTGGCTCTTCTTTCTCAACAAATTTTTTTTAATTTATTATTATTATTTAAAAAAGAAAAAAAAAGAAATTCTTATTCTTAGGTGTTTGATAAGATTCTTTCATTATTATTCACTCTTGTCTCTCTGTCTCTCTCTCTAACATCCATCTCATCCTGAGCTGTGAACCATTGAATGAAAAAAAAAAAAACACACTTGTATTAAGAAGTCCATGTGTATGCATGTTTAATTACTCACATCTTGTGGGTTTGCTTATGGTGGCTTCACTTGAACTATAAATTACATATCTTTATTATTTCTCTGAAAAGCTTTAACAATTCGTGTCTTATTATTACATTCTTTATTGGAACAACTGAAACTCATATGCTGAACTAGTTGATAAATGTTAGTTACAACACAAATGCTTATGGGCTCTACGTACAGAGAAAAATGCTTATAGTAGCCGTATCATTTGTTATGTGTTCAATGTAGATGCGTAGTATATTGCTTTAAAGTGTTTAATAATTTCAGTTGAAAATGAGAATTAAGATTCTTAAGATAGAATTGAACCACTTTCCTACCAAACTTTTCCAACTAATTTTTTGGTGTAATTCATTTAGGAGCATAAATATTAGATTTCATTTTGATTCTACTATTTATTAAGGGGGCGTTTGGTATGCAGGAATCAATAAGAATCATATTCCCAGGAAAGTGATTGAGGGTAATATGATTCCTATGAATAATATATTACTGTGTTTGGTTCCATACAGGAATCTTTTTTAAATTCTCAGGAATATTACATTATTGTGTTTGGTTGTTCGCATGGAAGAATATCCATAATAATAATAATATTAATATTAATAATAATATTAATAAATATTAATATTAATAATAGTAATA